ATTCAGATTTTTCTGGTGCTAACCAAGCCACGCCACAAAAAGAAGGTAGCTAATGCTTCTTTAGTAAATCAGCTCTTTAGTTAGCTATTATGGGTTTAGACAATAGAACTGAAACACCTGGTTTTAGACCATAACATCCCTTTCAGACAGCTTCCTCTTGCGTCCACAGTTAATCCTGTTGGATGTGGTTGGTCCTTCTTGGTGGTATGCTGACATTACCCTGGATACTGTGGCTCTTGATATATCACAAAGACTTGCTGTCTTGGTCACAGATGCTCCAGGAAGACGTGCACCAAAAATTTGTCCTCTTTTGAACTCTGGTATGTCACCCATAATGTTGTGTTCATTGCAATATTTTAAGCAGAACTGTGCTCATACTCTGCTAATTGAACCTTCACACTCTGCTCTTACTGAAGCAATGTGCAGTTAATGAAGACTGGTCACCAGGCTGGTCCAATTTAGCCATGAAATCTCCCACACTAAAATGACAGCTGTTTCAGTTTCATTGTCTAACCCTGTATTTGGTCAACTGGATGGATCTCTTCATATTTAAAAGAAAATCATGCTGGAATGAAAATGTTTAGGTTTTTTTTTTCTGAACCCAGAGCAGAAAGACATCAACACTACATACTACTGTATTTGTTCATTTATCACAAGTCATATCATCATCGTAATGTTAAGCAATGTTTTCACACATCGCAGGTTTTTCCTGATATCGTGCAGCCCTAGCTGGATCACTGCTAAATTGAAAACCCTCATTCAGTGGAAGGTAATCATACATTCCCACAAAGAGACTACTATATGTCCACAATCACACCACACCCTGGGCCCTGTCCCGACCCAACTCTCTCAAATCTCACTAGGATGCAGCTACATGCTGAATGTGTATAATGCAATTCACCCMGGCTGGTATTATATCTGGGCTTGGCTACTTCCATGGCCATACCACAATCAAAGCCATAGCCTTGGCATGAGGCCAACATGTTCGGTCCTGCTTTAAATTTAAAATGACAAGGTAACCAACCTACCAATCTACAATTTTCTTTACAACCCAAATAATTGATTGATAAAAAACTTCTTTAGAGGAATTTGCAGGCTTTTGGAAATATGGCAAACATTTCATTGTTTACCACTGAGTTGATGTTACTGCATCATGGTGATTAGTCTGATGGTTACAGCCKAAACATTTGGACACAGGTATAGTTTTGTTGTTTTGTTTTTTTGTTTTTTTTTCTCAGCCTAAAATTTATTACAAGGATTTCTGACACTCTCAAATTGAGTAAAATCAATCACAGCTCTGGGCTGAAATATTTTTTATGTCAATAAAGTTCTGAATAAAGTGTTTTAGTCTTTTATTTAATTTTAACATTTAGAAATAAATCCAAATTTCTTTAGAGTTACTGATATTTGGCATCATTGTTTTTTTCCCACTTTGTTTTGTTTTATTTTGTTTCTTGTTCAGTGTAAAGTAGACATTTGTATGATGCTTTTAAATCCTTCTTTTTCACCTTTAAATCTTTCAGTTGGCTCTRTTTAAAGTGGAACTGCAATGCTTTTGTCTAAATTCCTCCTTATTGTAACTCCACAAGCCCCTCTTTCACCCCTTATCTGAGGTATGATCAACTCGTTTTGAGGCTGTCTCTTTAAGCCCGCCCCCTCCAGCTTCTAGACCAATACATTCTAGTTTGATAGAGGGGTTTACGTCTATCTAGCGATGCAGAAATGTTTTATTTACAATTTCATTTAAAGATGTCAACAAGTGGAGCCAGAGTCTGAGCCAGAACAAGAGTCTGAGCCAGAACCAGAGGAGAATGAAGACCAACAAATTGTAGTTGGTAAATCCAGACCTTATTTGGCAGTTCAGTCACAAATAATTTGATGTAATAGTTCAGAAAACATCAAAGAAAATAGAGAAAACTGAATGGGTCAAAAACTCTGACCCAAACAGAACATAAAGATATCTACGCAGCACCAGGAAAGACTAAATGCAACTTTTCTGCCTCTTAAAGACTCCAAGTCCACAACAACATGTATTCAACAGATAAAAAAATGTCCCCTTTAAATGTATTTTATTGGCAGGCATTGCTTATAGAGTTAAGCTGAACTAACATTAACACCTCAAAGCAGGTCACAGGTTCCCCTCCTTGTCTAGATGTGTGAAGGTTGCATGTCCCCCTTTGCACTCATGGGTTTTCTCTTGTTTCTCTGGTTTCCTCCACAGACCAAAAAACATGCCTCTTAGGTTAATGTCCTTAGATGTGAGTGAGAGTATGAATGGCTGTTTGTCTCATTTATCTATATGGTCCTGTGATGGTCTTGGGACATACCCAGGGTGCCCCCCGCCTCACGTACAGTGACCGGATGGACGGAAACCAAAATTATCTTAACAAGAAATTCTCAAGTTAACAAGAGTAAAAACAGCAAGTGTGTGGATGAGTGCTCCTGTTCTCAGAAAAAAAGAGATTAGATTTAAATGGAACACGAGGGGAAAAAACATATCTTAACACCCCAGGGAAGCACGTGATGGTATTTTATAAAACCTTTAACATAAAATCCCCCTTCCCATGCCGTTTAAGTTTTATTGACTCAAACATTAAATCGTTGGTGCAGTTGGAGCTGTGCTCAGGGCGAGGCACAGCTGACYGTGGCAGTGTGCCTCTCATGTATCCCGTCTATTGATTTTGTCCCATTGATTGCAGTTGATGGGAAAGCCAAATCTCTTGTGATTTAATCAGTGTAATGATGGCAGATTAGCCAGATACTTTACTGCCATTCACTGCGAGGGAGATGGTGTCCTTTTAATGACCCCTCTCCCTTTCTCTGCTCACCGTCCTTTGATCACATTTTTCTTCATCAGGCAAATCTATTTCACACGTGTGCACACACACACACACACACACACACACTGGTTCCACCTGTTTTACATGTTCTTCTCCAAAACAGGGACAGATTAAAGTGCCTGTGACATCATTTTTCATGATAAATGTGAATGCACTTTTGGAAAGATAACATAGATGACATATTGTAAAAACAATTTCACACCACTGAGATGAACAGTTGTTGAGATATTTGCATGTAAAATAACAGGAAGTGATGACAAATGGGGAATGTCTGCATAGTCTCTCTTCTGTACATGTTTATTGTAATTATTTCTATCATGTTTTTTTCTTTGTCTCTTCCAKAGGAAGGTGCACCTGAACCAGTCCCGGCCGGTCGAGGCAGATGGCCGCCTGTCCTGAGCCTGGTTCTGCTGGAGGTTTCTTCCTGATTAGCAGGGAGTTTTTCCTCTCCACCGTTTGCTCAGGAYGGGAGACTGTGATGAAGTGATTCAACRCARYCTGCTSGTTTCTTCTTTAGATTATTCTTTTTATGTACAGTGCCCTGAGACAACGTATGTTGTGACGTGGCGCTATATCAATAAACTTGAACTTGAACTTGCACAGAGCTTTGCTACAATAGCTAACAACACAGACAGCAGGGAGTTTTCTGATGTTTCTTTAGATAATTTTAGTCCCTATAAGAGAGAGATGAAAAAAAGTYGGGGTTCAAATAATATAGTTTTAATAAACAAAGACCAGG